CCGAAAATTAAGAAGTTATATTAACAATCACTAATTACAATAGTTATAAAGATTTACATTTGCATAAAAAGTGCTAATTGTAAGAGCTAAAAGATATGGTTGAAAAAAGAATAAATATGATTGTATTCTGAAAGATGCTTATAACTGGATATAAGATATAATGAATAAACATTTTTCAGAAATCATTAAATTTAATTAATTACAAATTAGAAAAAATGCAATTAAAAATATATAGAATTGTATTTTTCTCTCTCCATATTCTAAATATTTATAATATTTATATTTCTTCAATTATACAAATCTTTTTGTCAAAAAGAAACTTAATGGAATTCCACGATCGTTTCTGCGTAAATGATAAACAAGTATAAAGATTTAGTTATCCACCTATGTTATGTATCAATCTTCATATGTCAGAAAATGCTTGAAAAATAGAATTATTGATGGGACATAGCTGTAATATGTAGCGAATATATTCTAAAAAGCCTATCGATCCGGAAAAGATATGCAATAGTATCTTTCTTGTGTGAGAAATTATGTTGCATCGTTATATACCTATTTAAAACGAGATGTTATAGCGTCTTAAAATGTAGCAAGACAGAGAGAGAGAGAGAGAGAGAGAGAGAGAGAGAGGGGGGGGGGGGGGGGGGGGGGGGGGGGGGGGAGAGGTAGGGAGGGAGGGAGATAGAACGAATGTCTCTTCACTAAATATTAACCATACTTAATAATAAAATAAATTATTGAGAACCAAGGAACTTTGATTGCTACATAAATATTAATTGAGTATTTCTTGACACACCAAGAATACTTAAAATGGTTCTTACCATAAAAATTCATAATATAAATCATAAAATAAATGATAACGAATAAAAACGCTGCAATCATCATATTTAAATGGAAAAATATAGGAAAGATGGAAATAAAAAGATATGATGAAGATATAAGGCTCTGTGCATTTAAAATACGATAAATTTTTTCTTTTCATCTCATATGTTTACAATTATGTTGCAATAAATACCTTGTTTACGAGTTAAATGATCCGGCGACAATTTCCGCTCTTATCTTTCCTCTGGCCTACCGGACAACGAGGGAAAATTCTATTTGGCACGAATATCATCATACTATGCGGGAAATTGCGAGACACTGTTGTATCAATTGAGTGTCCCTGACAAACTTCAGGTAGAATCACTATGACTATTAATAGTGAAATTACTAGGAAGATATTCACGAGTAATTTCATTTTCAAACGATATTTGGAAATTTTATGATTGCTTTTACTAGAAATTGTGATCATTATATAAAGATATTTCTCTATATATATAAATACTAACTATCAATGTTGATATGTTTGATGACAGTATATAAAAAGTAATGAATTATGCATTGATAACAGCTATGATAAAACTATTCAAGTGAATAAACATTCATTTAATTTCCACGAAATTATACTTGAATATAAGGATGGAGCAAATAAATATGCGATAACCTTGTATCAATCCTACATATTTATCATTAGATAAAGTTATCTCATTTCATTTTCATTGGTAGGCGATATTTTACGTACGTTAGACGTAAAAATTATACAGGAAGTACATAACGGTATTTTCATATTAGCGTCATTTTTTGTGATAACTACTTGCAATTTCTTTTCGCATCTCTATTATGTATTTTCTTCTTTAAAATTTATCTTAAAATTTCTGATAATATTTTTCAAATGACAGTTTTCTTTTTATTTCTTTAAAATATTTCTGTTTTACAACTTTATTGTTACTGTATATAAACTTACAAAAATTTTCTAGATTTTTTAATGATGAAGACTTTATACCTTCGGGAAATAAGCGCGTATATGTCATTCTTTCTTTCTGCATATCTACTATCTATAATCTGTATAGGATATGTTTTTTAGATTATATGAATCCATTAGCATAATGGAAAAAACTAATTATAAACTAGCATATTTTTTTAACACAAGTTTGCGAGCTCAGCGATACTAATGGAAATACATATACATATATACGCTGTCGAGATAATCAAATTTAAATAATAATTGTATATAATTGTATATATAATCTTTATATAATAATTTTATATAATTTGTATATAAGTCTCAACATTTTATTGAGGTAGATAAAATATTCATATGTAGAAATTTTTCTGTGTGCTATTTTACTACTACATATACTGCTGCTATCATATGATGTTTTGGAACTTCGCATCGCATATAGCTTTCAACTGACATACCCGAAAAGCTGAGTTTCTGTAAATATTTGCAAGCAGACGTTGAAGACATATTTCATATTTCTGGAAGAGATCTATTGCGAGCTAGAATGTGTAGTTTTTGATAAGCATTGTTCAATAAAAGTACTTCAGAAATCGAATTATATTTATGACCGGAGCAGTTAACGTCGAGATTTTGTCTTCGTAAAACAATTATTGAAGTTAAAGTAAACGTGTAAATATGCTTCTTCTCTGTTAAAGCTGCATTGGACGGAATTTCCGTCTCATACTCTCATCTGACATAAACTGCGTTATTGACATAAAAATTCTATGATCAGATGTAATTAAATTAATGGGACATTAGCAATAAAAGTCAATTTTACCACTATGTGTGCGTATATGTAAAATGCTATTAAAATAAATAATTTCTTAAAAATAAATTAGCGCGTTTGTTAAATAAAGAAGTTTCAAGCTTCATAAGTGTATTATTTGCGCGACGTCTTCTGCGCCTGACTCCTAAAGCCCGTATTCTTTCCAATTCTTTGATTTATAAGGAGTCTTGGTTACTTTGATTTGTTATACGAATTTAAAAATAAATATTATAAAATTTAATTAATTTATTTATTTATTCTGAAAATTATAAAATATGAAAATTGATAGATCATGGCATTAATACAAAAATTGATATATAACTTTGTTATTTTGAATTTCTTAGATTTACTCATCTCCGATTTTGTCCGAAAATAAATAAAATTTCTACATGGCATTTGTAAGAAATTAGATAAATCCAATTACACCAGAGGTGTAAATATTTTTTTATTTACTTTTTTAAAAGAATATAATTAATTAGGCGCTGTCAGTATATTAAAGTAACAAATCAGGATATTTATTTTATTCAATTATTTTCAAATGCTCGACAAACACTTTCAAAACATTAGTTCACATGCATGTCGAAAACTGTTTGACTCCAAAATTTTTAATTTAGTTATGCGTATAATACTTCATATGTTGCAATATTCTATATTACATGATTTAGAAATAATTGTGCGTATTTACGAGCACAATTATAATTTTAAAATACAGCTAAAATATTTTTCTTAATTATTGGGTAATTTCTTTATAAATTTATTTTAGCAAATAATTCCTTATGTTGTTATTATTTTGTCGAAATATTATGTCGAAATTAATTGCGCAAATAGTTATCAATATTTAAAAAAAAATCAAAATTTCTGCAATTTTTGCAATTTAAATATATTAGGTGTTAAACTTAATTCCTGCCGTTTTTCCTCTTCAAAATTGATTTGTTTCGAAGGGAAATACCTTAATCAAAGTATTATTAATAAAGTATTATTAATTAGTAATAAAGTAGAAAATGGAGGAAATTACTTTGATTAAGGTATTTATTCATCTTTCCTTCGAAACAAATCAATTTTGGAAACGAAAAACGGCAGGAATTAAGTTTAACACCTAATATCTGTATAATTGCAGATTACAAATTAATGTTATACAAGATTTTATCATATAATTTCATAAATATTGACCTATCGAGTATGTAGTTACTTATAATATTTAGAATTTTGCAATAGTTTTACTGTTTTGTTTATTTAAATTCTTCGAAAAAAGTAAAACGTTTATAGGTGCGTTCCGTATTGCGCACGATGCGCATGATGCATCCATTGTCCTTGTTTAACATTTGGTGAGCAACAAGGGTAAACGATGCATTATGCGCATCATGCGAGAAACGGAACGTACCCCTTGTCTATTCTCTTTCTTTCTTTCTTTGTTCTTTCATTTTTCTTTTTATTCTAATTTCTTTGTCTTTTATAATCTTACCATAATTTCTTCCGTTTTTCGCGAATTCTATTCGTATCGCTACGCCTGATCGATTCAACAGATTGAACTGCATTGCTCTCTCCAATACTCATTATATATAATCCATGTTTTTCGATTTACGCAAATTTTATTACTATTATATATAAGAAATTACGCTCGCTAAGATATAAATTTAAATATATAATTATTAAATTGACTTGAATGGATCTAGGAATTTAGAAGTTTTTTTTATCTATTAACATCTTTTGTTATAAACAGATCGTTCAATTAAACTAGAAAAAAATAATATTTTTTAAATTAGATTTAATGATTTAATTAATTTATTAATTATAATATAGAGACTTTACGAAACAATATAATATCTAGTACTAGCACGAAAATTGAAATTATTTTATAATTCAGTGTAGTTGTACATTACTCTTATAAATTAGTTCATCGCATATATGTTAGATTATTCAGCGAGTTTTGAATTATAAAAGTCATCGATATCCATGAATCTGTAAAAAAACAAAATCACAATGAGAAAATAAATGTATATAAAACGTGAATTGTAAAAAGGTGATTGGAATTTCTGATATTTCTGAATTATTAATTAGTGTAATATTTACATGTTATAGTATATATCGATTAAATAAAATTCTTTCAGTACAATTACATATCGAAACTCACATTTCTGATATATTTTGAATATTGGTATGCAATATTTAAAAAACAAAAAGAAAATTTTTTAATGAACGTAAAAGTTTACGTTCATTAAAAATTTTTTTTGTTTTTTATTTCTTTTATTATTTTAAAAGTTTACGTTTATTAGCTTGAATTAATAATACTACGGTTTAACATTTCTATATTTAATAACTTCAGCTAAAATTCATTTTCCTAACAGCTTAAACAATCGTACATAATTTATTTGGTTCTCGCAGCTTTGCATTATATTACCGAAAATGTTGGCGCGATTATGTTTGAAGTTTTACTGCTTCTCTGTTAGAAATTGAGTGTGAAATATTAAATTGATAATTACTTGCATATTATCTTTGTTGAAACAGCGTCTGACATGTCCCGTGAGTATCTTTTCTCTGTCCTGTTGGGTAAAGAGACTATCAATGATATATGGGATAGATAAATAATATTTTATTTTGTGCTAGTACCCATAGTCATAGTCGTAATACATATTTCTAATGATATTATTATGACCATCATTAACGTGATTGTCGGCAAAACATCAAGGAATATTTTCATTTTTGTATTGCGAAAATCTGAATATTTTATGTGATCTAGAAAATACCGTACCAAATTAAACGTCATATCGTTTATCTATTCTTTTATTTCAATGAAATAGTCGAATATATTATATATAAATCTTCTATTTCTTTTAATTCTTTTAAAATTTTCAGAATATTTCATTAGCATATTTTCAAACGTTTAAATATTTTTTTGATATTTTTAAATTTTGTCCTTAATTTTTTTATTTAGTAAAATATAAAATATAAAATATCTTGATAATTTTGTTATAAAATATAAAATAATTTGAAGGAATTTTAAGGAATTCTTATTTTGCCGCTCTCTTTGTTTCTTCGTGAAAGATAGCTTCTCTTTTTTCAATATTCTTAACTCGATTTACTGGATCTTTAGTACGCACTTTATCTTTTTAACAAAGCGCGCAGTACTATTTCTTTCCTATACATCTACTTCCTCTACTTATAGTTATCGTATCTTTCCTGATTGTGCAAGCTTCATGATCATCTTTTAAAAGAACCAGTTATGAAGCAGTATATTCTCCTTTATTCAAACGAGAAGTTACAACGACAGAACTTCACATCACAAAGGAAGGTCAAACGTGTAATTATACGTATATATTTTAAAAGAATATTACATTTAATGTGTCGAAAATAACACTATTTAGCAAAAAAAAAAATGCGTAAGAATAAAGATAATTATTTCCCGTAGTTTTTTGAATGTTGAATATAATCCCGTTAAATTATTGTATTACGTTAAATTTTTAGAAATTCATATTTAAAATTACAAAAAGGCAATTTTTAATTATTTCAGCATATTGTAACTACGATATATAATATGGTGGAAAAGTTTTATTATGATCAAAATTAAGTAGGTTGCCAAGATTTCTAGCTCTTAAAAGCTGAATTTTTGTTGTATCGATCGATTATAATTAAAAAGATATTTGTGTTTAATGTAAAATCGAGATTACATTAACCACTTAATGTAATCGTGGGACAGAGTCCTCGAAATCATTATAAAATTCATATTAAATTTCTATGTATAATCCAATAATTACGTATGCAACCACGATAAATCATTGTATAATATTAAATAAATTCGTATATTTTACCAAACGACTTCATATGTAGCGAAAAAAATTATTTGTAATCAGATGAAATCATCTGATATCACGTAATTTGTGGGACAATATTTCAGCTAGTGGTTACCCCCTCGGTAAAATATATCACGTTATTAAAACTGTAATTTACATATATTTTTAGCATATGTAAATTATCTTCTAAAATATATAATAAAGCAATGCTAAAAGCTGAATTCTTGTTGTATCGATTATAGTGCCAAAGATATTTTTGATTAATGCAAAATCTGTTGCTTTGAAGTGTTGTAATTTACATATGCTATTTAGGGTATTAAAAACTTTTTAATTATATGTATTATTTAAATTTAAAGGTTTTCATACCGCTGAATATTAATCTATAAATATCAAAATTGACACAATGAGTTCAAAATGGCAGTAATATTATAAACGTCAAAATTAAATTCAGTAACAGTTCTTTTAATAATAACTTTTTAACATAATTTTATAATTGAATTTATTAATAATTTATAACTTTTTTGTGTGTGATATTAAAATTATATTGAATGATTTGATAAATTTTAAATAACAAAATATTTGATAGAATTTTAATAAAAACTTTCGAAAAAATCATTACTTCGATGCAAAAAATTTTATATTAATTTTATATTAATTATAAATTTTATATTAATTATAAATGTCTTCTAATTATAATCGACATCAATTTTATTTAACCTTAGCTACTAAGGTACTCACGACGATTTATTTATATTGCTATAACTTTTTTATAGTATAATTCGAACAGCTGGATTGAAGTTCAAAAAAACTTTAATTATCTATAGATACGATAAGCCTAGAAGAGCAGTTTTTTGCGTTATTATTCAATGTGAGAGTGTACGAAATTTCAAGAGGAGTACCTGATAATTACCTTCGTGTAATTAACTCGTTTAAAAAGTTTTCTGGGTACTCTTTCGTGTTTTATTAAATATACATTTGCTAGGTTTCAGATAATATAAAAATAAATGTATGAAATCATAGGATTGAAAAAATTATTTTATATACAGGTCCTAGGTATCCTAGACCACCCACACACCCCTTTTATCTCTTCGCAGAATAAGGTACAATTAAAAATATATTCAAACAATAATTTTAGGGTTTACAAAGATCTATTTACTAGTCTTATCTCACATAATTTGACCTTAAGTGCTAAGATTAGATCAAGCTCACATTGATCTTTTAAAATGGAAACCCTTATTTTTTATTGCATATTTTTATAATTTATTTTGAGAACTTTTCAAAACAATGTAACAAAATATTTTTTCATTAAATACTTTTTGAGTTATAAGACTTAAAAATTACAACACCACCGGCATTAGCATTATCTAAGGTGTTCGATTGATTACAACTTTTTAAATGTTGTTCAGGAATGTCAAGATCATGATCAATGCAATTAAAATTAACTGTACAATTTGAATTTATTATAATCCTGATGAAAATATAAAACGTATAGTGTGTATTTTCACCTTTCTGTTCGTTGAAACGATATTTTTGGGTCTCGGTTTTAGCTGATATTGCTGAAATGTTGATATCTACAAGCCTGCAAACAGATATAAAATACATATGTATCTAGGGAAGCCAGAACATATAATTTTCAGAGATACTGCACAATTTACACTTTAGTAAATAAATTTATTCAATAATATTATAAACTCAATATAGCTTGTTAAAATAGTACAATGATTCATTTTACATCTTTGTATATTGTAAATTAATATAGTTTTATTAAAAAATTATATGCATATGTATTTTGTTTTGATTATTGTGTATGTTAATGTATTTAAAGCTGTAATATTCAAAACTACCAATATTATTAGCGTTAATAAACAATTAATTGAATATTTATTTTCTGATAAATAATAAAAAGGTATGAAAATGTATCAAATAGAAATATTATATAGAATTATTATAATGTATCACGAGGAGGAAGGTTGTATAAATGAAAAATTTGAAATTATTGAGGCTGATCGATAGAGTAATATGAGTAAATTTGGCGGATCTGGGGATTCAGTACATTTGGTACATGATACATGAATTTCGAATGCTGTCATATTGTATATGGTTTTGAATCCATATAATCCCCATATCTGCCAGTTCCGCACGATATTATTATAGTTGATTTAAGATCTATTCAATGTATTGCTATATAACGTTATAAAGAGAATTAGAGAGCAATGAAGAAAGCTACCTCGAATATTCAACAGTATAATTATGTATTGGCAAGTCGGTAATAGTTTTATATTTTATATTTTTATGACCACTGACTAAATTAAAGGTCGAAACGTGTGTTTAGATTTAATGTAATTTTATTTTTATGAAATTACGTTCAATTTTGCATAAGCTACCAGCCCTGTTAGCTCGAATAGCCCTTTGATATTTATTTTATTTGAATTCTATTGAACCGTTATTTCTATTTATATTTTTAATTGTTATATGTAAAATATTATATTAATATAGATTATATTAATATAGAAATATTATATTAAAAATATTCACATATCGAAATCCAGAGTTTTCATATAAATTTATGTAAATCTATACGTTGCCGAATCTGGAGCATAATTGAGCGTGATTTAATTACGTTCATTTGAAATCTATGGTTTGCTTTTAAAGATAATTTGCTCTAACAAACCTAAATACGCTTTACCAAAGAAACTGTTACCTGTGTTCTCGATCGTTATATGGGTGAGCGACATACTCCTCTGGAATCTTGTCTCTGGCCCTGCGGACATGGTCTTGCAGTTGTTCTTCTAGGTGCATCTATAATGCTTGTAGGTCGTATTACCTTACATTCAGTGCAGGGTGTCTTAATCTTGGGTTGTGTATATATTACATCCTTATTCTTCTGACCGACTGTCAGTGGCACCAAGATTAACATCATTGTCACGAGTATCAGGAAAACACCACCAAAGAACTTCATTTCTAAACGACGCAATAATTTTTTTGTTTAAAAATGCAATTTGAAGTGCGAACAAGGATCGAAGTTCTCGCATCACTAATATTGTTAACTAATCTTTACCGTTTTTTCGATTCGCTTTTCTTGACTTTTCTTGATTTTCTTTCTCGTAACTTATCGCAAAATTTTCCAACTTTGCTTGCACTTAATACTTCTTTTACTCTGTTTATCTTAGCGAGTATTTTGCCACTGTGCTATTGCATGTTTCCTATTTATACTCAGATGTTACTTCCAACTATGCACTTTGCTTTATTACAATAAAAAATTACAATTATGCAGATTAAAGGCGTGCTAATTATCGTAATCAAAGTATTATCGCAATACTAATATCAATATTGTCAATAAACATTGATAGCTATTGCGTTCTGTTATTTTCCCGTGAAAACGTCTGTGAAATATTAATAATTAAGCGTAGCGTTTACACAACTCTAACAAACTGATAAATAATATGTATGTTGGGATAATATATAAACTGTTCAACTTCATACATATATCGTTTCTTATGACTTCCATCCAGACTATAACTCTGTTATAACTATAGAGGAACGTAACAGACTAACATCGATCTTGACATAGTTGTAAAGATGCTTTAAAAATAATAGCTTTTGTTGATCAATAAAAAAACAGGTTACTGTACATACCGGTGAACAATTTTATGTCTGAATAGAAAACTGAAAAGACACATAACGATATCGGAGGCTCGTATTTTCGTATTTTGCCGCACGTTCGGCATTAAAATTGGCTGCTGGCGTTTATTTTATGCTCAATACCGCCGTATTTAGACCAATAAATGTCAAAATCTGATAATACAACTGACCGAAAGAATATATTTGAGACAAAACTGATATGCATACACAGCCATTAATAACGATATATTTAATAATGTTTATTGTATTGTATATTTAGTATTGTATATTTAATAATGTAAACTTTTTTTCTATACGGGATAAAAATTATAGGAAGGTATTTTCACGTATTTTGCTGCACGTTTGGCATTAAAATTGACTGCTGGCATTTATTTCGTGCTGTCAATACCATGGTTGTATTTAGATCAATAAACGTTGGAATCTGATAATATAGTTGACCTAAAGAACGTGTTGGAGACAAAATTGGTATATACACACAGCTATTAATATTTTATTTAATTATAAAGAACAATAAGGCTCGATAATAGTAAATAAAACAAATAATTTGAAGAGCTACGAGCCAGAGAAACAAAGAAAGTATATTTTAAAAAATTATAAATATAAAATTACAACAGACAAACAAACGTTTCGACGCCGATCGGGTCATTCTCAATGTTAATAAAAGTTTAAATATTAGAATATTACAAACTGCAAATTATATAAGATTTCTATAACTTAATACGTGTATAGAGTGATGTGAATACGTAATATTTGCTGAAATGCTTGCAAAGACCTAGTTATTCTTGTTAGTCCTTCAATATAATCCAAAATTCAATTAATAATGGCATTTTGCTTGTGTTCTTGTAAACGTTGTTCTTTCTTATAAAAATGTTGAATCCAAAGTTGAAAATCTCATAGTAGTCGTGAAAAGCCTTGGAAGTATATTACAGCAGTGCAGAAGTTAACATAAAAAGATCTATAAAACCCGTATAAAGTAACCGTAACAGTCGGAGATAACACTATTATGCAACTGTGAGGATAAACAAAATTAAAAAAAGTAAAATTACCTTCATAAGTAAAGAGTTAAATCTCGTTACAAGAAGAAATTAACAATCGCTTATAGACTTCCATCTTAAATTGGAGCAAATTGCAATGAAAAAAAAAGATATGTTTGTACCTCTGGCTCGTAGCCCTTCAAATTATTTGTTTTATTTTATTTAATAATATTCGTTGTAGCTTTTTTTCTACGCCGGATAGAAATTATTACTAAACGTCTATTATTAGAGAAAAATCAGTTTAAATTCGACAATTCATTTGTCATTTAAATTTCAATACATATAGTGTGATGTGTAGTTTGCATAAACATACAACTCTGTAGGCTTTTTCTATTTATTGCCAGATTTTGTTGACATACATGATTTTTATTTGACGCGAAAAGAAATGAACATAAAAAAACATAGATAAAAAATATATTTTATTATGATAAATCGGGATTCATATTATAATTGCAAGTTATTGCGCAAAACACTAAAACAACTAATAAATAATATACATTTATAATCGCATTGATGGCGAAGTTTGTTTCTCTGATGCAAAGCGGACAAATAGCTTGGCCAATCTCTTGACATGCGTTGTTATGATATTTCACTGTGACGTTTGTAGGATTACACCGCTCGTATCGTTGTATCTGCAAACAAATATAAAAAATAATAGCTCATGAATGAATGATCCTTGTTTGGCGACATAAAAAAGGAATTATATGCAATGGTTCTAAATTTTTTATATTTTTCTTTTTAGATACACATACACACACACATTTTGCTCTATTGGTATATTTAAATAGCTATGGAATGAGCCGGAATAATATAATCGCTAAAATAAACATGTGAAATATATGCAGGAATGAAAAGGAAATGAATATACGTGTTTTTCAAGGGCAATTGTTGGTTCAGGAGCAATACCAAAAGTTTGCACGAAAAACATAAATTTTTGTTGATAAATGTATTTTTAAAAGACAGATTAAAAAATATATGTTAGAGATTAGAGATATTTACACTTAAAAATTTTATAAGCTATTTTATATGTGGACATTTTAATAAATTAATATAATAAAAAAATCTTTAAATGTGTAATTCTGTGAAGGAATATCCTAAAACTAGTTCTCTTGAATTATTATAAAACATTTGCAATGTTAACTGCAAAATTGCAAAATTGCTGAATCATGCTTCACTTTTTGTTTTAGAAATTTTTCGATATTTTTTTATTTGAATCACGTCGCTGATCGACGGAATACAAAATCCATGTGTCATGAAACACAGATCGGAGCCACTATCACATGTGACCGAGAATCTAGAATTCAACTATCGTTGATTTTTCGGTAGCAGTCAATTCTTTTTATTTCCGACAACGATGACAACGCGACAGTCATCATCGTCACGGAGGAGATTAACAACGTGGCTTAAATTTTCATTTTTGTGATATTCACACAAAACATTTGACCCCGATTCCTCTAAACGACGCTTATAACGTACGAAATATCTTCGTTAAAAGAGCATTTTCCCGCTAATCTCCTGTTATTTACAACGACGTCGTCGTTAACTCGGGAATAGTTATTTAATTTCTTTTTTTTTAAGTAAACGATCACCTGGAGTACGTGTTTTTACACTTTAATTCAAATTAATATTATTAACAACATATTGTACATTATTGATTGTCTTCTTATTTATTAATATCTGCGAACATTATAAATTTAATTATAATTTTCTGAATAAAGTAGATATAAATTAAATATTAAACAGAACATATACATACACGTTAAGTATGTATATAAGCTTATTATGACCGTATTTCTAAAAAATAAAGATTTTAATTAATATAACGCCTTTATAGCGAGTTTTCGGTGGAATTGCATATTTAAAGATTTGTAAAGAATAAAATATATAAATGAAATATATATATATATATAAACAGAGAAAAAATTAAACACAAATAAGAACGCATATGAGCGCGAGCGTGGCATAACAGAGAGCGCACAGGTCTATCATGCTAGAAGTCCTCGGTTCAAATCCCAGGAACCAAAATATTTACGCTCGTGTCTCCTCTTGGGAAAGGTCGGCAATCTTCCGAGAGTATCCTTACCCATAGAAACACCTCTCGAAAAATCCACCGTTTAAAACCGGCATTAAAACTGTAGGTCCCATATGCTCGTGGCAATTGAATAATCACCACAAGCATTTGAGAGAGGTGTAACACAGACCACAGGCCTAACATAAGAAGAAAAAGAAGAAATAAGAATGCCATTTATAGTCAAAGCAGGTCTTGGTACTTATAAAGAAACACAGTTAACTGATGAATCGTCCCCAATTTTAATAAGCTTTGGGTATGTTAAAATATAAACAAAAATAAGAAATACAAAAAAAGAACTCTTTTGAAAAGATCAGTTTTTTTTCTTTAAAATGAATGTCATCGAAACTATGAGAGATAGAAAACAAATGTCTTAAATAAAAGTAAAATGGTTTCAAGAATACTTCATAATCAAAATTAAAAAAGATAAAAAAATTTTTTTATTAAAAAAATTTTTATTTAAATAACTTTTTTATAATAAATATTATAAAGTACTCTTGAAACCATTTAACTTTTATTTAAAACATTTTTTCTATCTCTCATAGTTTCGATATAGTATATTCACTCTGAAATAAAAAACCAATTTTTTTCAAGGAGATTTTCATCCTCCCAACATGTATAAAAAAAATGTATCTTTTATTTTCGTTTATATTTTAATCTAAAGCTTATTAAAATGAGAGGGAGTGTTTGTTGTGTTTCCTTGTTAGTAATATTTATATATGACTATACAAATACAATTTTTAACCGTATAAATTGCCGATTCAATTTATCGGACTTAAAACACAATCATGAACTGAAATAATTATCTTACAATTAAATAAATCACGACTAAAAATATATAATCTTACAATTAAAAAAAATACTAATTGTATAATCTCACAATTAAAAAAAAATCGTTAGTCTATAGAATTAAAAATTGCATTTGTATATTCACATATGAATATTACTAACAATAAGCAAAACCTACTTTGT